GGAAAGTAAATTTGATCCGGTAGATGGCTATATTTTTCTTTTACGTTTGCTTTGAAATTAAATGAATTTCTTCAGCCCTGGTGATTGTGTGCTGTGCCAGAGAGAAGACATCTATTTACTTTTATAAAGTGATATTCTATTGATCTCTGCAGAGAAATACTGTCTTTCCCTGCCTTGATTTTGCCCCGAGCGTTCGCTGCACTGTAGAGCAGCTGCCTCAGCAGGGGGGCATCTGCCGGAACGAGGGGGGGGCTCAGCCCCGACCCTCAGCTGGGTGCAGACTGATCTGCTGAGTCATACAACAAAATTTACGACAGCACTGTCGTTGAATTAACGTATAGCAACGTATAGAGGCGGACATGTTGCTCTCATGCCGTTACTTGTAGATAAAGACAATATGCAAAAGAAAGCATTAGGCTCTGCAGACATAATAACACTTCAAAGCCTCTCAACGTGCCTTCCTCTACAAGAGAATGAGCACAAACAATAAAAGTGTGTGGGGGGGAGAGATTAGCCTGTTTGTATTCCCCTCACATCCTGTTTGAATTATGATGATGTACTCACCAACATGGACACATTTTACTATTTAAGGCAGAACTAATCACCGGCTCATTTTGTTTCGGAATCTGAATTGCAATGCTGTTTTTTTTTTTTTTTCAGGTCTTTCTCTGTAAACCAGACATGAGCAGAATACATTATGTCTAATTTGAAGCCTAATGAAATCTGAATCTTGTCTATTCCTGCTACTTTTTTTTTTCTCCTCCCCTCCACACAGACGTCGACGACTGCCAGTCCGAGCCTTGTGAAAATGGAGGAACTTGCGTCGACAAGATTGATTCATTCCTCTGCCTCTGCCTGCCAAGCTACGGAGGAGACACGTGTGAGAAAGGTGAGAGAGGGAGAGAGTGCTGCAGTCATGCACACATTGAGGAATCTGATGATTCCCAACTGAGGGAGAGACGTTTTTCATTTTTTATTATTTATTTATTTTTGCTTGTTCAAAAGAAATGTTGGCGGAGAGCAGGAGCGGCAACTAATTTGTTGCTCGCAACCACGCTGACGAGTTTTCTTTCCAGCAATGTTCACATTGTTGGCTTTGAAAGGATTGAAGCTTGCTCTGCAGGAGGAAATAAGCCTAATCAATGTGCAGCATCTGTGTGTCAAAGCACAGCCACGTCTCAGCTCACCTTTCTGACAAGGCGTCTGCGTGTCACACAGCTGCAGGATGATGAACACCGACTCAATCTCAAAGGCGATCAAGCGCTTGTGCCTGGATTGTGTATTATTTGCAGGTTGTTTTTTTTTTTTTTTTTTTTTTCCAGTCAGCAGAAAACGGAGCGAGCGCAGATTTCAATCGATGGCAAAATTTGCAGCAGGAATCTGCATTTCATCACTTCTTTGCAGCACTGCGTTCCAGTCCGTTTTTTTTTTTTTTTTTTTGTCAAAAAGAAACTACATACATTATGATTAATGCACCAGCAGCAGCGTAGTTTAATATATTATAGTGTTGGCTGTTGGGGAAAAAAAAAAATATTTGCATGAATATTTTAGAGTTTTTACTGCACAGGTAACTGAACGTCTACCCTTTACTGCAGATAACTCTGTCATGAAAAGAGCAAAAAGAATCTTAGACGTCATAAAAGAGACAATTTTGCTTCAGATGACTGAGCAATAAGTAATGCGTGTGCTACACCACAAAGCAAGCTAAATGACAAGAAGAAAAACATAGCTGGTCAATCTCCTAGTAAAAATATAGCAAATAAATTATTAGTACATGTTAAAACCAAGTGTGGTCAGATGGAGAAACCAAACAACAACCAGCTTTAATGTGTTTTACTGAGATTTATACTAAAAAGCAACACAATTTAGCCTAAAACTGTAAACTGGAAAGATTTAGCAAATCCTTTTATTTAATTTATTTTACAGTGACTTGCATGAAAGATGTGACATCCATTAGTATTCAACAGCCCATTTTAGTCTAAATGAAATCCAGTACAACCAATTGCCTTCAGGTATGACCCAATTAGTCAGCACAGTGGCCCTGAGTGTAATTTAATCTCACTGTAGAGACATCTGCTTTGTGAAGGCCTCAGAGGTTTGCTAGAGAATATTAATGAACAAACAGCATCATGAAGACCAAACATCACAGCAGACAGGTCAGAGATACGATTATGGAAAATTATAAAGCAAGGTGAGGCTGTGAAGTAGCATCCCGAGAGCTCTATTCAGTCCACTGTCGGGAAATGGAGTTTTTAATGGCAGCAACCTGTCAAAAGGTGGCCGTGCAGCCAGAACGACAGGCTATGAAAGGAGAGATATAAACGACCAAGAAATCAGAAATCCACAACTCAAGTAGGAGTTTCTGTCAACAAAACGTTATGGTGCATGCATAAAATCTGACGCTTTGGAAGAGTAAGATTAGAGTCACTGATTGAATGTTTATCTGAAACCGACGAGTCCAAACCAGTAAAAACAGGACTGGTTTGTTAGAACGGTCCAGTCAGACCTAAATTGAACAAAAGCGTTAAGATTTACCCCTAATTCACAATTGTGCACAAATTTATGCAGCACTATCTTATAAAATACAAATAAAACACATGGAAGTTTGTGGTTAAAACAGGAAAAGTTTTTTTTTTTTTAAACAATTTTAAAAAAATAAACGTTTAAATGTAAAATATATATTTTTTTATTTTAAAAATTTAAAATAAAATTTAAATGTAAAAAGTGTATATATCATAAATATAAATTAAAATTCAGAAACCAATGCTATATAGCGTGAGGCATGTTTCAGTATGTTTCAGTCACATAAACTGAAACATTGACATGAGCACAAAACAAAACAATTCACACTCATCACAATACACTCCAACACACAGACGTAGTGTCACCTCTGGCTCCAGTCACATCCGGCTCCAGGTGGGAGCCTCTCTGCGTGCATCTGCACCAGCTTAATGAGAATTAATGAATATCTGAGCTTTGCGGTTATAAATGAATGCACAGGCCTTGGTGTTATTAATGAATACCAATAAGTGCAGAGAGAGGGGCCGCATGTGCTGTGAATGGAAAGTAGGCACATATAATTACGGTTCAAGTATTTAACTTCTCCAGATGCCACAGTCGTATACTTTAGTCTTTATTTGCCAAATGAGACAGAACACTCCTCCTTCCTCGCGTCCTCCACAGGCTTTTCATCTAATGATTATCTGGACTTCTTGCGTTTTAACTGCAATTTTGAGGAGGAGATTAGTTTTACTTCTCATTTCTCTCTCGCTCTGTTCAGACGTTGAAGGCTGCGAGCACGGCTGGAGGAAGTTTCACGGCCACTGCTACAGGTATGAGAGCGGATGAGGTTGCAACGTTGGGGGGGAAAAAAAAAATAAAAATCTGATATCATCCATTTGTATTGCTCACACGTTTACACATTGTCCATTATCTGCTCACAAATAACCATTTCAACCTGAATTTGTGCTAAACGTAGATTAACTCGCCGTTTTCTCACAGGTACTTCAGCCACAGACACACCTGGGAGGATGCAGAGAAGGACTGCAGAGAGCACAGCGCCCATCTCAGCGGCGTCCTTTCTGTCGCCGAGCAGGAGTTCATTAACGGTATGTGTGACACAACAAAAAACGTAACACAAAACGGAGAGAGAGAGAGAATCAAAAGAAATTACAGCTGTGCTTTTTACTCAGAACCACAATAACTTAAAATAAAACAAATAGGTGCCTAAAATTGAAGCAGGACATTAAAACCACCATCTTCTAAGAGTCTAATGCAGGAGAAAACAAAGACAAAGGCAGTAAAACTAAGCAAGTCCCACAAAACAGGAAAAAAAGCTGTTACAATCAGCTAGTTGGGGTAATTAAACGAAGCTTTTCCTCACACTGCTTGCTTGTTTTTAGGTCTGGGTCATGACAACGCCTGGATCGGTCTGAATGATCGCACAGTGGAGGAGGACTTCCAGTGGACAGACGGCAACGATCTGGTCAGCTACGACACACACACACCGCACAAATAACAGCTTTTAAGATCTGCGAACAGCACTAATTCCTGCTTGGTGGAAATATTAATGCCGAAAATTTGGATAATACATGGTTAATACACAGTCATCTATCTATTAGTGTTAAACAAAAACTGGCCTTACAACATTCTCCAGCTCATTCTGATGGTGCGTTCACACCAAACGCACCATCAGAGCGTCAGGCGCATCTGGTTTACATTCAACATCTACGTTAGACGCGCTCGATGCGTCAAACGGTACACATTGCGCTAGACTCTCGAAACGCGCCTCCACGTAGATTTGAATGTAAACCAGACGTACCTGATGTTCAAAAGACGTTTTGTGTGAACGCACCATGAGAGTTTCCCCAAGGCATAGCTGCTTTAGTCCAAGCAAGTTCTGGTTCTGCCTTAATATCTCCTTCAAAAAAGGATTTTCAAACAACTTCAAGTTGTTTCTTCAATTTTACCAGAACCCTGAACGATGGAGCTGAGTGTAATGTGAGCAAAAAGCAAAGGGATTTTATGAAATCGGTAAAAGATATGAAAAAGCTGGAATGAAAGGAAGTAGTTGAATGATGCGAGTATATTTGAACGTTTGAACGGCGTTTGGAAGCATGTGGAAGTAGTTATAGCACAAAGAGTTTTGCCGAATTTTTCAGAAATGTTTTTAATTTTATTTAGATCCGGGCATGATGTGTAACTTTTAAAAAAAAACAAAAAAACTTTAAGCCTACTTCATGTTGTGAGTCAGGCTCTGTTTAGGTGATTTATGGATCAATATAAAGGTAAAAAAAAAACTAAAAGAAAAAAAATTTGGTTGATCACAGTTGATTCATGGTACAATAAGAGTGGAAACACTTTTTCAGAGTAGCATACTCTGACATCGAATTAAAATTCCAACTTGTTCTTATTTGTTTGCTAAACCTCATAATTATTCTTCTGCGTCATTAACATTCTTAAAATGATAATTCAGGAAATTTGAAATGAGATTCTGATACATTATGATTTATTAGTCTCATTAGGTAACTCTCTTGGCATCTTCATTTTATACACATAGATTAGTTGAAGCTAACAGCTGCAGTTTAAAAGCTCCTCAAACAATATTCTCATGAAATCGCCTCGACCTTTTGAAGACTCTTGTCGTTTTAAGACAGTAGAAATCCACTTTCACCTTCATCCTTCGCCAACAAGCAAACGGCTTCGAACCAACTAATTGGTATTTATGCTAAATGAAGCCCTAAAAAGGGTTCATGTACTGCCTTTAATGGTCCATTCTTGAAAGCAAATATTGACGGTTGCCGTTTGTCGTTACGCAGGTTTATGAGAACTGGAGGGAAAGCCAGCCAGATAATTTCTTTGCAGGCGGCGAGGACTGTGTGGTGACCATTGCCCATGAGGAGGGCAAGTGGAACGACGTGCCCTGCAACTACAATCTGCCCTACATCTGCAAGAAAGGCACAGGTAGGGAGCAATCACCTGGAGAATCACATCACCTGGTAAAGCCTTCCCTGTCTTTGTAACTTCAGAAGACAATGTTCGTAATTTCACAGTAAATAAATCAGTAAAGTTCCCTCACTGTGTAAAATGCATTATTCATGGGGAAAAACACCACATGGGTGATTGTGTGTGTGTGACCAGCTGGCCTCCTCTTAGTCATCAGTGCTCATCACCAGCTTTTGTTCTCTGTTCATGTTGTTCCTACTTCGGTAAAAATTCTCATTCGCTTGACCCAAACTTTAAAGCTTCACCTTACTGACACTGTCTCATCCCCTAAAAGACTCAGAAAAATTGATGACAAACACACACTTAAGTGAAGTTGCAGTTCTGCCCAAACCCATATTGATTTTTTGAGAGAAAGTGATATAAATCTCAATCTTTCTCCCCTTCGGCCCCGTTTATGCTCACTCCAGCTCCAGAACTGATGTTGCGGTTATTGCCAGGTTCATAAATATCATCTAAATGTCTTTTAGGGAGTTTTTCACCAGTTTGCCTTAGTGTTCATCCTCACGGTTTGGGACCGAACCATTGTTACTGTGAATGCAGACAGAGCCTGTAGGAAGCAACGGAAGAACATTCAAGACATGAAGTAAAGTTATGAGGAGTTAAAGGAGTGAGGAAACACAAGGATGGGGTGTTTGTTTGTTTGTCTGTAATCTCATAGATCAGTCCTCTGTAGAGATACTCAGAACCTCCATTTGATTTTAGTTGAGCTTGATTCATCAACACGACTGCCATCTAGTGGCAGCGTGTATGTACTGCCTCTCATTAGAGCGACTTTAAAATGTTTTCCTCCGACATTAAAAAAAAGAAACCGTGGATAAAGGATATCTACTCAGCTATTTCCTGTTAATTTCTGTGATTTGAAATATTTTTGGCAGTGTTGTGTGGGACCCCGCCAGCAGTGGAGAACGCTCATTTGGTTGGCCGGCGGAGGTCACACTACGACATCCACTCTGTGGTGCGCTACCAATGCTCCGAGGGCTTCTACCAACGCCACATCCCGACTTCTCGCTGCCGGGCCGACGGGAGCTGGGAGCGACCCAGGATCATCTGCACAAAGTGTGAGTTTGACTCTGTGGTCTCAGAGGGAACACTGTGTTACTGCTGGAACTTCCCAGATACTTTCTAGAGCTTTTTAGGAACTCAAAGGTTAACCCCTGTGAAACTTTCCAGCAGCTTATCATCTGCATCCTAGAACTTACCGGCTATTTTCCCCAGATACTTTCCAGCAACTTAAACTGATCTGAAAGGCTGTTTTCTAGGGATATTGTTAGTCGCTTTCAGGAAGGTATACATGGCACTCTCTAGAAACTATTGGGTACTTTCTGGAACTTATCAGGTACATATTGGGGGACTTTCCAGGCACTTTTTGGAACTTTTCAGAGCTTATCTGGTTCTTGAAACCTGCCACTTCCTATTAAATAATCCCAAAACCAAAGCCAAGTACTTCCTAAAACAGGGGTAACTCTCTTAGTTTAATGTATGGCTGTATTTTTCTGTTTTCTGAAATGCTGCTACTTTTATTAGCTGCTGTGCTAACTAACACACCTGAGGTTGTCATGTCTGAGTTTGTGGTTTCATAGTATGAAAAAAGATTTTCATTTCATTTTTTCTCCTTGTGATCATTCGGTGTCGTTTTGTTCAAAGAAAATTGACATTGACGGTTTTTCCCTCCAGCTCGGCATTCGCACCGGTACAGACGCCACCATCACAACCAGCACCGTGAACACCGCAGGAACAGGAGACACGGAGGAGAAGGCCACAAACCCCGAGAGGACGCTCAAAGCTACTACTGAACCAAATAATACAACATCCGCAATGCCTAGGTGCTAACCATGGCCCATACAGGAAGAGAGTAGTTCCCATGTCCCTGCTTCTCCCCTTGCTCTCGGCTTAGCTTTTACTACTTTTGATAAATAAGGTCGTCTCTAACATGCAGCTAACCTCCACTGTCCCATCTCTGAGTTTGGTTGTTTTGATGCTTCTTTTAACTGGGCTGTGAAAATACCTTTCTAACGTCTCATCCTAATTAACGACGACCCCCGTCCCCTTTCTGTCGGATAGACATCAGTGTGTAAATGTGTGTGAGTGTATGCATGTCAGATGGAAAATTAGAGAAATGTCTCATTTAAAAAAAAAATAAAAATCAAATTTCAATCTTTTGTTCCACATCAGGGGTCTCCAACTCGTGTAAAGTTCTGCAACTTTTAGAAGCGTCTCTGTTTCAAACAATTAGCAGGAGTTGACTGAATACCGAGGAAGTGATTCAGTGGTTTGCTTGAGGTCTGTTGGACGAGGGACTCGTCCAAAAGCTGCAGGACGCTGTCTCTTGAGGACTGGAGTTGAAAACCCCCGGTCTGCGTGAAAATTAACTCGTCCCAGTGTTCCGTTACCACAGACGGCTACGACGCAAGCTAGCGTGCGTTCCTCTGTAACCCTGAGCTGTTTGTGTTTTTTGCTGTGAGCTGTTGCTTTTTTCTTTCTTTTTTTCTTCATTGAGCTCTTTTAATAGCTGCTCTGTTTTATTCTTACTGACATGCTTTTTCTAATACGTGCCGTTTGTGTAATGTTACTATTTATTACGGATGATCTGCTAGTGAAAACACTTTTTTTTGTACTTACGCTCCAGGAAGTCTGTGTAACACCATTTTTCTATACCAGTTAGTAGCAAATCCTTTGATTTTTCTCTAATCTCCAGTTTGTAAATATGTTCTGTGTTATTAGCTGATCCACTGCTGGACTTTGTTCAAATCAACTCCTTCTGAATGATCTTATGGATGTGTCCCACAGACATACAGCGGATCGTGTGGGTGGGAGAAGGAAAAAGCTTGAGCTAAACACTTGATTGTATCGGATTTGCTAAACATCTTGAAACTTTGCACGGCTGTGTGTACCTGATGAGTAGAATGTCACTATTTTCTCTTTAGTCCCTTTGATATTGGATCAGTCATCTACTTTTTTGGTGTTCCAATGACTTTTTGTCTTGCTGTTGTATTTCATTCTTAATAAAGTGAACAAAAGGAAAAGCAAAACTTTATGCTTTTTCTTTAAACTGAGACCAACAAAATATACTTAGGTGAACTTTATTTGAATTTTACCTGATGAATCAACAGAAAGGAGAAGGAAAATAATTGGCTGGTTTTAAAATGGTTTTCCATGTAAAAATAAATGCAACTGTGCTGCAAAGGACTAGAGATAAACAACATCCTTAGTAATATGATGGTATTGAAAGTCTTCTGCAGCCATTTTATGCAGTTTATTTTCTTGTGTGCTTAGTCTTTAAAAACGCATGTAAATTAGCTAAAATAAAAGCAGCTCTGGAACTGAAACTTTCATAATGAAGCCATGAATGTTGAATGAGAAATCCTGCCAGTCGTGTTGTGAAGCTGTGAACTTTGACCCAGTTTATAGTTTTAACAGCCAAACAGTCTCCACTTTCAACTGCTACACTTTTGATTTGATCGCAAAAATCAGTCCTCAACTTTCCACATTTCTACAAACAAGATCGTTTAAGAAAAGGACAAAAAAAAAGTCACACTTTGCTTGACACATATTTGATTAATTAAATCCATTTTCACATTGAATTCAACACGTGTAACCTACATTTTGGCTCACCGATTAAGGCATATGGACTCCTGACCAGTGGGATTTTTTTTTTTTTTCTGAATGTGAACCACATGCAACAGCTCACCTACATCCAGGGTTCACCTCTTATCAGGCTGATAACTGCAGCAGTGCACTCTGCACAGCGCCGAATACGTCTCTGCTTGGGGACAATATCGACAGCTGCTGAAACGGTATTGTTAAATCTATAAAAGCCCGAGTCATTTTAAGTTTTTATATACGGTTTTCTAGAGGCACAAGGGGAGAATATCAATGTTCCTGCTCATCAATGCAAAAAGTATTCACAGTTCTGTGGTACTTTTTTTCTTTATTGTACAAAATAAACCACAACAACATGAAACACTGAGATGCACAGACAGGTACAGCAGAAAGTAGTAAATCTGGTTATTGAACTGTTTAACTTACTAAGTAAAAGGTCAAAAACGTGAACTCTGACCTGCAGTGAGATCATTTTTGGACTATTTAGACAAGAAAATGAGGACACACCCTGGTGTTTGATGGAAGATCGATAAATGTCTTGTTTTTAAAAAGGGTCAAATTTGAACATTTTCACAACAGTAAAAAAAAAAGCAGAAATAAATAGAACTTTAGTTGGGATATACAGACACATTTAAGTAAACCGTTAGGTCAAGATTCGTTATCTAACTTTTGCAACCGGGTATCTGTACGAGTCACCTGAAAGCTGATCTGATCGCAGTCCTTCACCTCCATCAGCGGCGCGTCTTTATCAGGGTCCAACAGTCCACAGAGGGAGTGCCGTGTGAGATGGCCGATTTGGAAAAGTTGACCCAGAGAGCAAAGTTTCTAAATCTCCTCTGGGCTTTAAGATTACGGGGGAGAAATAAAGAGAGCCGCTTCTTTCAGTTTGTGCACTCCCCTGAAAGCGTTCGCCTTTTCAACACGTGAACTATTTTCTTGGACATCCGGTGGCAGGCGTGCGGTCCTAGTTTTTCTTCTTGTCGTCGTTGCTCTGTCCCTTGGGAACAGGCTTCATGAGAAAAGCCGGGTTGGCGCGGCAGCGGAGGGCCAGCAGAGCGGGCACAGCGGCGAGCAGCACATTGAGGGCGATAACCGGCCATCTTTTGTCTGCCGGGGCTCGGTACGTGAAGGGAGTACGGGAGTGCAGAGATGCTCCGATATGACACCACTGAGTCTGGGTGGGGGGGGAGGAAGAGGTCGTCAGGGGGCAGGGAAACATTAACAGCAACAAAAATAAAAACACAGTTACAGCACCTAAATGGAAAAGTATCCATTTCCTACATTTGTCTTTAAGGCACAAAATGTATTAAATTAGGACGTAATGGCGACATGGAAGGAAAATGACACCTAAACCTTTTTGCTACAATCACAGTTGCACGTTTTCTAGGATACACGTCGACCAGCTTTACATAAATTTTCAATCCATTCTTCTTATTAAAAAAAAGCTCTAGTTCAATTGAAAAGGTTGGAGAGTTTCTGTAAACATCATATTTCCATTGTTGCCACAGTTTCTCAGCTATTTAAAACATGTTGTAGGAGGTCTGGCGGCATGCTTGGTGTCTTTGTCCATGTCGCCTCCATAGTCGCTCCATGCGTCTTCCCATTAACTCTGACTAGCTGGGGGTAAAAAAAAGCACCCTTCCCCCTCAGCTCAATACTTTCTCGCCTTTACTTTTCTTATTTGACTGTGTCTCCTACATGGCTTACAACAAATAGCAGTATTTGTCATTTTAATTTCACAACTGTCCGCTGCTTTGCTTTGATCCGTCACATAAAATCCCAGTAAAACTTGTTTCGCGGTGCTCTGTACCTGAGCCATGGAACCAGCAAAGAAGACGGTCCAGTCCAACATCCAACTGCATCCAGGTGTGTTCAGACCGTAGAGAAGAACGATCACCAGGGGCACAGCGTAGAAAAAATACACCAGCATCTGTCAAAAATGAGATGAGATGCAGTTTGTGAACAGGATGCATGCGTCCGATCTCAGTCGCAGGATCATTTTGATCACTTTTAAGTTTCTGGACTGACCATAATCCTGGAGAAGCCCACTGGGTCCTTGAGGTACGGCTCATACTGGTAGATGTAGGTAAAGCACGCGTCCAGAGGACAGTCCAACACCACCTGGAGCAAAACAGCAGGGCAAACAGGAACTCAAACCTGTGACCTTGTGAGTCTGCAGAAGGAGTCGGGCCTGTGCTGGGTTACTCACAAAGCCTCTGAACACAAAGAAAGCCACGGCCCCCAGCAAGAGGAGTGACAGGAGCAGGTCGGCAGGTCGAGACAGCAGACCTTTCTTCTGCTCTGCAGCAACCTGATCAGAAGAAACAAGAGAACTTAATGTAGCTACTGGCTTATTAGCGTACATGCAATAATCCAACACTGTGATTGAACACCAACAAACGCAGCGACTGCCCTGTTACATAAATCACAATTTGTTACATAAATCACAATTTATTTATGCTTCTGTTTTCCAGCTTAATAAAGAATTAGAAAAGCCAGTCTGGTTCAAATTGACTCTTATTGGACAGTGAATTTGTTTGTAGAAGTAAAGAGGACATGAATAAATGTTAATATTTTATTAGCAACATCATGTTTGCTTATGTTGACTTAGAATCAAATTCCTTGAATTAAGCTGATTCTGATGTTTTCCTTTATGTCAAATTTACTTCCTGAGACAAAATTTTAGTCTTTAAATCAACATTTTATTTAACTATAATAACCTTATTTGAAGGTCTAATCAGCCAAGCTGGAACCTTTTACTTTCTCTAATATTAGAGTAAAATTAAAGAAGATAAATCTGCAATAAATCTTAAATTCTTCCCGCTACTCAAACTCTGCATTAATAATCAATGTTAAATATTATTTTTTTGGAACATAGATTAAAAAAACTCAGATTAATGAAATATCTCAATTTACCTAGTTTTTTCAAAAATATATCCATTTAAAAAAATTCTTACATATGACAGACATTAAGCTAGTTAATCACAAATATTTTTAGGCAGGTCGTTTTGAAAACTCATCATTTTGAAATGTTGAAGAAAAAAATTAGAAGCTTCTAAATCATAAAATAGAGATTTCATATCATTAATGAAAGCATGTCTAGATAAATAAAAACAAATCAATCCGATCCTTAGAGTTGAGACAGAACTGTACCTTGTCTGCTGTGACGACTGGCATCTCTCTGGGTCTGCGAAAGAGCCGCGATGCTGCCCAAAAAGACACCAGGAAGAAAGGGGCATTCCTCCAAAACGCTGGCCGGATGTTGGACCCATACTTACCTGCAAAAACCAAGAAGCAAAAAAAAATAATAATTAATCTGCATGGAGAGACATTCAGACCAGTCAGAGGAGTTAAATGTTAGCATTTCTCACCAATTACCACCCCTGGAATAAGGACAATCTGATTGGCGATGGAGGACCCAGCCCACAGCAGACCCAGGCTTCGGTAGGGCTTACTGTCAAAGAAACCACAGAGTCCATCAGGGGGAAACACACAGTGAACCATCTGGGGCGGTTCTGGTGCAGCAGCTCACCCTGAAAACATGCGGTGAATGACTGTGAGCAACAGGATGAGGTGAACAACCTCCCAGTAAGACATCATCACAGCATAGGAGGTGGCGAGATGAGGCTCACCCTGGAGAGAAAAGATTTCAAAAATACCTCTTTGTTGTGTTTGTTTGCTTTTAAAAGAAAAGATTAATTGTATAAATCTGAGTTTGGTCACTTTACCATCCTTAGGTAGAAGTCCATAAAGCCGGAGATGAACCCGTCCTGCTCTAAAGCGTTGGTCAAACCCACCATGCCGCCAAACGTAAACTCTGCAAAAACTACAAATGCAGAGGAAACCAATGAAATACTTATTTATTCTGCACATTAGCATTAATAAGCAATGAGTCTGCACCGTAGAACAAAGGGTCCACTTTTGTTTTGTGTCGCACTGTGAGGATGAGCAAAAGAAGAACGGATCCCAGGACAAACATTCCCATTCCCAGGATAGGAAGAGGTCTGTGGTGACAAAAGGGAGCAACGATTTATCTGGTGAAGTCCACAATTTATCTAAGTTAAAGCAAAAGAGCATGAATGTCTGATAAAACATAAATGTGGTTTCATGTTCAGCTTATTGCTTCCTGCAGCCAAAATGCATCGGGTAACAAAATGAACCACTTGCATTTTTGATTTTGTGCCATCTGACTTTAGATGCACTGACCAACCTGAAACTGCATAGAAATGTAAAAAAGAAAGAATGAAAAGAATGAGTTGCTCTGAATTTGCAAAGGTGTTTCATCCTTTTAATTCACAAATAAAACTGAATTTCTACGTGATTATAACTTACAGTAAATTACTGCGCCCAAAATGAACCTTCACAGTTATTTCACCAAAGCAGTTGTCCATGCGTTGCAAATCCAACATCAGGCTTTTAAACCACAAATCTGCCAAAGGCTGCTGTTATCTATGCTGCTTTCAGCCTTTTTTCTTCCACCTAGCTTTCCACTAATATTAGTCATGCTTTCCTTTTTCCATTACCCTCACTGAAGCTTGTCTGAATGCCTGTCTGCTGGGCTATACCGTCAAGTCAGCAGTTTGTGGTGGTCACAGCATGACCTTTCTACATGATTTCTTTCTGGAGATTTAATTATATCTGCAAGCCGTATTCATCAAAAATGATCAGATCAGAAATAAACAAGTGAAATATGTCGACCTCTGTGTCGTTTGAGTTTCCCTTTTTGACCTAAATTGCTGAGGGGGGAAAAAATGAGAGAGGCACCTGCAGACTGGAGACAGGTTAAATGATGGTGAACTTACTCCTGAAACGCAGGGATCTGATTCATTGCGAATAAAACTCCAGGACCCAACAGAGAGAGCAGAAAGACGCTGACCTCCACCGGTGGCTTCATCTCTGTAGCCGTGTTCTTCAAGCTCCAGGTGTTTTTTTTGTTTGTTTGTTTGTTTGTTTTAAACCCACGCTGCAGATAGAAGCGTTCCCAGCCTAAAGGTGCTCACTGGAGGCGTAAAGAGGCATGACCAAGGCCCGGAGCCCTCTCCAGTGTGGCAGATGGGAAGTAGAAGCTTTAAAGGAGTGTCACTCGTTACCTTTTGATCTGTGATGAAGCAATGGTGTTGCTCCAACACGCCAGCTATCAGGTTGTACGTTTCAAAGTTCAGCTGAGGACTCCTCTTCCTCTGGCGCCTGTCAGAGAGGAGAAAGGCCTCCCAGCGCGCTGCTGCCTCTCGCAGGCTCGGTCAGAGCAGAGGGATGGGGGGTGCGGATGGTGGTGATGTCGCTTTAAATAGAAACTAACCAATTATTACGCTGTGGTTTATTATTGCATCCGCATTTCATCATTTAGCTTGGATCCTCTGGCATGTTTATCATATCTACATGTAAAACAGAGGAGCATTTCTTTTGTCTCCCTCTGTCTGCCGCAAACTTCAGCGTGCGCCATGTTTTCTATTTAGTCAAATAATCTTTGTGATTTTTATCAATTATGATTTTTTATTTTTTAACCTCTAAAATGTCCTTAATAATTTTTTTAAACAGATATTAGAAGATACAGATTAAAGCATTTTATTATTATCATTTTTATTATTTTTTGTCATTTTGACAGCAGGTCAGTGGGACGTTTGCACACACTGCCCCCTATTGGTGAATCTCTATTCAGCCATCTGCTACTCAATAAATGGCACCACTATTCTACAGAAAAGGATGAGGGCCACTGAAAAAAAAAAAATTCTGACTGTAATCTCAGAATTCTGAAAAATAAAAGTCAGAATTTTGACTTTTTTCCAGAATTCTGAGATTAAGATCAGAATTATTATATTTTACAATGGTCCTAATCCTCTTCTGTACTTTTCATAGTGAAATGAGCAATATTTTTTGTAGCTAGGCAATGAGCAATGCTAGCTTTAGCATTTCCTTTAAAGGAAAGTCAGTGGTATAGGACATATTCACTTCATTTAATGTTCTTTATTTAATTGGATTCCCTTCTGTAATTATTAAATTGACCCAATTTGATAAGATTTTTTTAAAATAATTTATATATGTTTGGTTTGGGCGGTTTATTTGAATAAAAACCTGATCATATAATGCTACATATATTATTTTCATAATAAGGTAAGGCTTTTTAGTCTTGGGTGCTTAGGTGCTTGTGAGAAACATTCGCGTCTCTCAACAACAAGATACGACTGGGTCACTAATCAAGATGGTGACTTGAAGAAAATGAGACAACAAGTCTGATAATTGGTGCACCTTGCAAACTCTTGGGAAATATTTAATGTCCAGCTAGACACAAAACCAATACAAAGACAGCAATTAGAGAATGCAATTCATGTTTGCACTTACCAGCAGAGTGTTCTCGCTGTTACTTAGCGGGGTTAAACACAGAACTGTGTGGCTTTGTGAGAATTGCCTATCTGTTGGTGTGTTTTTTCTTTTTAATACGCTGACCTCCATTTCTTTGGTTTTGCTCTCGAACGCCACACAGCTGGTGGATTGTAGGCGAACATGTGGAGGAGGTCCATCTGCACATGTTGTCTTATCTCCAGTGGTCCCTGCGGTTCAGTCAAGGATCCATCTGTCCTGCTTGGTGTATGATTAAGAACTCCTGCGTCTGATGTTTCCAGTCTTGATTAAATTGTGGATTATATCGGACGGAGAACATAATGTCCAGAACCAAGATTATTCCTGTGTGTCGGTCGCAGTGTAATCTGAAACACATTCACTCAGTTTTCCTTCAATAAATATTGGCTTCCACCCTCTTTAGGGGTTCATTGTGAAGAATAAGTATTCATTATGCAACACCTTCTGACAGATGAGCGGCATTTAGACTGCAAGGATGCATTCAAAGCAACCTTATCTTCTGCAACAAAGCTGCTGAAGAGGATTAGGCTGCTGTTGCCACAGAAACTTAGAGAGTATAGAAGGGTGGGGAGTTCAGGAAGAGAGTAGAAGCAGGCGGCGAGGCGATTAAACACAGTCAACTCTGTGCCCACACACCAGACACACTTTTTTTCATCTGATTTGACACAGTTTCTTTTGTAGGTGTTGCCCAGTCTGCCACCATGATGCATCCTCTGGTCATCGGCATCATGACCGTAAACATATCTCTGACCGTCTTTTACTGGGTCTTCGTCCTGGGTGATGCTTACCTAAAGTGGATGGTAGAGCCAGAGGACAAGCCCAAGAAGATAGTGACCCCAGCCTGAGCGCTGCAGCATGGATGCACCCGACTGAGTGACTGGCTGCTGTTTTTGCTTAGGACTAGTCTGCGCTTGTAGCACTTTCTGTGGAGACGAATTCGTTCTGATTTCAGCTTTTTTTGTACCTTGGGAAAGTTGTCTTTTCATTATGCACCAGGAATCTTCCTTACAGGTAATTTTGTTGAAGTCTTCTTCCCTTGTCGTCTTTCTTATTGGTAGTGTTTTGTTAGGGTGGCCTGAAACGAACCATTCTGTTCTGTCATTTGATGACTCAAAGAAAAGCGCCATCCAAATCCTGTCACGGATTACTGAAGAACTCCTTGATAAAGACACACACACAGCGTTGCTCTTCTAGTTGCCCCTAATAGCCTGTCGCCGGTTCTGTCTGACCTCCCCGTCGTCGCCTCACCTCTGCTCATGGCTCCTGTCTTTTACTATGGCATGCACCCGGTCTCCTGGTTCATTCTCTTCGCAAACATAACCATCACCATCATTGAGTGGCATTTTCTCACTCGCCAGTTTTTCAAGAATTTGCAGTTGCCAAAAGAAGAAGGGTCTAAACCCAAGACGACGCCAGACACTTCTTAGAGATGCAGCACAGAGATCTGTGAGGATAAAAGAAATGACTCCGTTTCTTGTGGGAAATGTAGAAATAGTCAAGAGTTTCACCACGTTAACTCTTGTTTGCCTGACCTTAGCCATTCTCTGTCCTTTCTGTGTTTGCCTCCAGAGATACCACTATAGAGTTTAAGCCTGTTTGGAGTCCCTTTTGTTCCCTGGTCAAAGCAAAAAAGATGAGCAGCGGTGATTTCTCCTAACCACTGGTAAGTTCATCCATCCATTTTTCTCATCTTGGTCATTTTTCTTCATGTGGGACAGCATGATGACATTTTTGCTCTTTCATAACATTTCATGAGGCAGAATTGGGCCTTATAAGAAGCTATGAAGCATTATGTGATATTAAAATAATTTGACATGATGTCAAATTATTATAACATACTAGAGGCAGACCTGTAAGAGGAATTCAAGATGAATACAAATCAATTATTTACTTAAAGCTGTGGGGAAATAAAATTTTTTCTCAAACTCTTTTTACATCCTTACATTTAAATCATGAAAATTGTACTGTGATGTTATGTGGTACAAAAATCTAAAGTGTTTCATTGTCAAATAAGATTTTATATATATGACAGAAGGTATTTTGAGGAACCTCTACCAGCTTTAGGATTGAATAGATTTTCAAGTTTTACCTGATTCTTAGATTTTGCTCTCTCTTTGACTGGGTCATCGTAATAAAAAATGTTTTTTTTTTTTTAATTAAACCTTTAGTTGAGGGTTGCTTTGCTGGAAGTCAAACCTCCACCCTGGAAACTCTTTAGCATCCTCCAAGAGATTTTCTTTCATGGTTGTCCTCTGTGTTTCTCTATGCATCATTCCTTTAACACTGACCAGTTTTCCCAGTGTCTATGAAGAGAAGTATCCCACACCATAATGATGCCACCACTATGTTTCACATTGCAGTTGGTATGTTTAGTTTTTTCCACCGCACACAGCATGCAGCCCAAATAATTAAACTAATCTAATCAGCTCACCTTCTTCCTCATGTTTACTGTGATAAACTGAGTTTAGGTTTTTATGTCTTTCATTTTTCCATTTTTTTTTAAAGATTTTTATTTATAAGAGAAGCAATGCAGCACTTGCTCCCTACATTACAATTATGCACTACTTACTCATTTTAAACTCCAACAAAATATACCGAAATTCATGTACTGTAGTGTGAAAAAAATGTGTAAAAGTTAAAAAGTTATGATCCTTTTCTAAGACACTGTAAATATCTCTGTGTGCAGCCCGGTCACTTATGACCATAAGCCTCTTTTCCACATTACTATCCACCTCTACTCGCAGATATCATTAATCCCTGCAGATGGAAAGCTGATATTGCTCTATGAGCCACTCAATCCTATTAACTCTGTCTGTCCTACATTCCCCTACTTCTCAGTTTCACGCTCCTAGGGCGCCTAGAAAGTCTCATGTGAGTAGGAAGAGAAACTGCAGATTTTATGTCTCTGAAAAATATAAGAACCGGTATGACATTCGCATACAGGGAACTCTTGCCATGAAAAGACGTTTGTTTATTTACAAACCACCACATCATTGCGATCCTCCTCCTCCCATCCCACATTGTTTATTTGCCCCAGCTGCTGAAAATGTTTAGTTTCACTGATGTCCAGTTTTCCACCACCCTTTTTCTGAATATTTACAGTGCAGAGAAGAAAAACGTCGTCCCCAAAAGGAACAGCCTTAAAGCCCCACTACTTTCTTTCATCTGACAATCCAGTTAACAAAGTGTCAAAAGCCATGTACACGTTGCCATATTTGCCCCTGAACTCAAGAAGAGGTCAACTTTTGAACCTCACGCAGCTGGTGTTCCAGCATCGGCATCTCCTCCAGTTCTCCAGACGGAAAGAGGAAGACGACGCCTATTTTGTGGACTACATTCCCCCTGCAAGAGACGCAATCACTCTGCCTCGCAGCGTAGTCTACGTCTTAGTCGGGGCGATGTTGATCGTAATGGCCACTTACGCCATAGTAGGTCACCTGATTAAAGACCTCATGCATGACCTGGCAGGTGGGAACATTGTGAACCGATTACCTTCCCAGCACTTATGTGTTTGTGGTGAAGTTGAATCATTTCCATCCACAAGCTTTGGCTTCAACATGTTATTCCATCACATGCACCTTGTGGTTTGTGTGCAGTGGTCATCCATCCTCCACCACTGTGTGATTGCTTGTCCTTTAAGGTGAATGATGCCACCTAACACCTAATTTGCTGAAATGAGATCTTAAAGGGGCACTTTTGAAATGCTATGCTATATAAATTACTTACTCAAAGGAATGTCTAAAATTTTTAAAGGGAAAACACCAGATTAGCATCTTTTTTTAAATTTCTGCAGCAGAAATTACCTTTTCCTTGCAGACTGAGGCAAACATTGATGTCACTTAAGTGCCCCCTTAAAATTTAAGGAGACAAGAAATAAGAAAATGTATTTAATTTTAACTTTGTATTGCTCTATATTGACAGATTGGATATTTGGCCCTAAACCAGTGGAGGAGGATCCGGAGAGAGACGAAGCAGAAATAGAGGAGGAGCGGCGACTCAGCATTTCCAGTAACCTGATGGAGTTTGGAGACGAGCTGAGGATGGAGAAAGAAAGAGAGATGCTGCTACCGGGCTTCTACCAGGGAGACGGGGGCTGCCGCCACCCATCTTCCCTTCCTCCGCTGAGAAGTGCCATCACTTCATCTTACCCTGGAGAAAAAAGGATGTCAACTCATAGTGTGACCTTCGCATGCCCTGTTGCCCCTTGTGTCACCTCTCTCTGAGTTTTCATCAGTTCATCTCAGCAGCAGCTCAGATCAGTTTTTAATCAAATGTAGTGTGTGTTTGCAGTACTTTCCTTGCAGTAGTCAAACAAGAAAATGTCTCTTGTGCTCTTTCTTGCTCTCTTTTATTTTCATTTTTAATTAGAGTAAGTAGGTCAACATGACCCATATCCATAAATTCAGTCAAGCTCCACCGTGTCACTATGTAATATAAGAAGTGTAAAATAATAGTTTATTATGTGAAAATGATGTAAGTCCTTTGTTCATCGCAAATGTTGACAAAGTAGAAAGAAAAATGATGAAAATCTGCTCATTTAAAAAAATGTTTATCACATGTTACTGAAAACCAGATTGATCACTTTTCTTGTCCAGGTGACCTAAGCATTGTCCCGGTAAATAAACTAATAATATAAATGAGTTGTTGTGTCTTGTCTTCTTTCATTAATCCATCTTATCTTCCTCTAATACCTGCTTGTGTCAGAGGCGATGGCCTATTTATAAAGGTCAGGGATTACTGTACTGTCCACCTTACATATTGGTCACCAACTGTAGTTGTTTAGCTAGCTGTACAAGGACCTTATTCATAAAATATGCACCATGCATTTTATGTATTATAAAGTCCAGGTAAACAATGTTCTTCCACAATACTTCAAAATCACAGCAGAAAGTTGAACTGAAGTTATCTTTAAATAAACAAACAGCTAACTGGGTAGACAGGTTGCTAGTAAGGTACTTAGCTAGGTGTGTCACAGTTGGTGACCTTGTTTATAAAGGCTGCTAACCCTGTATAGGGTTAGCAGCCTGCTATATAGCACCCTGCTATAGGGTTAGCAGCCTTTATAAAGGTATAAAGTAAATACTTATAAAATGCAGCCGATATCATCCATGTTATTTACTTTTCAATCTAGATGAACAATGCGTTCCCATCATTGATTCATACAAGTGAAAAAAATGAATCTAAAGACAGATTTAAAAAAAAAATAAAATAAACTAACAAATAGAGAGTTAGTAAGCTAGCTAACATGCTTATGTTGGCCATAAACACCAGGAGTTACTGTACATGATAGATAGATAGATAGATAGATAGATAGATAGATAGATAGATAGATAGATAGATAGATAGATAGATAGATAGATAGATAGATGAGCTCTTAGACATTCTGCTGACGTGGAGCAAAGTGCCTCAAGCCTCTGCAGCTTATCTTGTTGTTATGAGTGCTACTTCCATGGACAGCAATGTGGTTTGTCCGTAGCAACGTCAGAAATAAAGAACATTTTAAGGTAAGAATCTTTATGCTGTTTGCTTTTTACCAGGTTTCTTCAAAATGCAGGTCTGCTGCACAAAAGGATTTGTGATTTAAGAGGTTTTAAGAATGTCTGCTAAACTTTTACCAGCTTGATGGTGATGATTTCTTTTTCACTCTTCCTGATCTATTTTTAATGGAAAACACTCTCAGATTGAATCCTCATGCTGGAGACTTTGAGCATCAATGGGTTTGAGATACTGAGTGAACTCACTGACTGGAAATGGACAACAACACAACAATGGATGTACCACTGCAGAGGCTAAACATTCGTTACAAGGATGGTGATGGAACAGTGCTTTATGAGTCCTATGTACCTCCTTCTCGGGATGCAGTCCATCTTCCCACCTATGTCATCTATCTTCTCATAGCTGTCTTCATTGTGGTGTCCGTTCTTTATGCCATCATTGGCCACCTCATCAAAGACCTCATCCATGACTTTGCAGGTGTGTTACTGTATTTTCTGCTATTAGTTTATTGATGGCAATGGATTTATTTTTTCTTTTTACTGCATCTCCCCTTATTTTCACTCTGTGTTTTTCCAGACTGTCTGTTTGGGAAGCAGCCTGAAGAAGTGGTGGTGAACTATTGTGAGGCCAAAGATAAGTTTATGGCAGACTGGTCCCCAGAAACTTCACCTGAACTGGAGGCAATGGCTCGGGCAGAGGAGAACAAGATGGTGGACAGGGACTTCATGAAAGCACCTGCAATTTGGATCATCTCCACAGAACCTCGAAGCACCAAGAAAGGACCTCGTGTTGTTTTTGGGAAGAGATCTTAGTCATGTTGATGATATGATGACAAATGTGAATGGACAGGGACATTAATTACTTATGTGTAAATCTAAAACTATACCTTCATTATGTAAATATTCAGGTTTGACGTAGTTTAAGAGGTGGAAAAATTAATTGGTCATTTGGGGACATCTTGTGTCTGCTTGTAGTCATTACATCTGATTCTAAATTACATGTTACATTACATTTAAGACAACTAACAGACCTGCTATAAACACGCATCGCATAATAGTTGGTCTGAACTAAATGACGTAGACTCTAAAAATGGGATATTTTAAGGAAATATATTAATTTAAAACATTTTGGACCATTCTGTAACATAAAATGTAAAAAAAAAAGTGAAGTGCTGTGAATACTTGTCAGATTCACTGTAAATTACCGGAAAAGCCGTAAATAATTTTATGACAATTAAAAACATCAGCGATGAATGTGAAATGTTTATCTATTCTCAGAAGAAAATAAACAATAGTAACATGATGGTAATATTCATAATTTATTTGAATAAACATGTATGTTCGGTAACAGGGTCTAATTTTCTCCTGAGGTTCAGGATTAGAAAAATATTGCATGTTTTAACAATATATGTCATTCTTTTTCATCTTAAGTATTATGTTCTTAATGATTCCTGAAAGAACAGTTGATAGAGATTTTTGGTATTATCCTTTTGTTCAGTCTAATGTTAATGTGTGTATAAACTGACCTGGAGGTTACGACTGACTGTTTCATCTTCATGTGAGACAGTTAACTCTGTGTTTCCCAGACCTTAAATCTTATCAACCAGAATACCTCCTAACTGCCTGTGAGCAGTCGTATTTTGTCTCTTGTTTATCCTCCCTCTTTGTTGACAGTTTGACCTAGAGCTGAACTGGGCTCAGATCGTAGATCAGATATCACACCTGGAACTGAGTTGCTGGTTTGTTTAGGTTAGAAGTTTTACGACCTTTGTTGTTCTTCCTGACTGCCCCTTTTGGTTGTTCTGCTTGACAATAAAACAGGGGCTCGCGTGGAAGGAGATCAGAGCTCTCTGTGAACGGCCTGGAGAGGCAGTGGCGGAGAGTTCTCCTTTTGCAAAAGCTTTGTCTATAAAATTCATATACGTTGTCTGTGGTCTTTTTATATAGGTTCGAGAAAAAGTACCTATCAACAGTATTGTAAAATGTATTGTTGTATTAATGATAATATTGATCAAACCAACAACGGGCTTATTGGAAAGTTTTGTTCTTCAGTGCAGCACTGCCATCTACTGGTTGATCAGTATAAGTGCAAACAAATCTAGAAAACTGGAAATTTCTCGTTAGCCCTTTTAGTATCAGACTCCTACAAGGAAAAAACAAACAAACATGTAAACATTGATAATATCAGTTAACAACCAATAATTAAAATAACTTTTCAATCTTTAATGTTACTGTTTTATGTTAGTAGAAAATTGAAATGATCAATTCGGGTGGATATGCATTATTGTTTCCATTGAACTGACGTAGTTAATGAAATGGGACAATATTGTGATTGAAAGTACTTCAGTAGCAATGAATGCTGCTGTAGATAAAAATTTATTAGTTACATTTTTAAAGCAATAAAGCCAGTATTTTTGTAAGGTTGAAGAACGCAACATATTATTTGACCTCAAAATAAAATTGTAAGCCCTTGAGAAGTGTAATGTCTCATGCTCTTGTGTTGATTTTAGTCTAAGCACTGCATCAACAGAGATAATCATTGGGCAGAAACTGTCCAAGAGAGGGCGCTGTGCTACGGAAGATTTAACAAAAAGAAAAGATTAGGGTTTTTTTTGTTTTGTTTTGTTTTTTTGGATGGTGCTGCCTAAAACGTAAAGCTGATTGTAGAATAACCAGCTCAAATCATGTCATTTTTTTTTAGAAATATAAAAAACAATTGGTTTAAAATATGGAGATATTGACTTAATCTCATTAACTCTATCGCCTCTCTGTTGCTACAAAGACTTTTGTCTAGAAAATGTTTGAAAACTCATGATGCCATCTTAATAAAATTCTAGAAACATTTTCTCTATTCAGGCGTATTACAACATGTAATGTGAACAACACACTGCAATATGACTGCAAGGATTCAGAGAGCATTTTACAATCAATGAAGTAAAAAAAAAGTCTCTGTAAGATGTAGAGCAGATCCACTATTTCTTGTTATATCAAATGAAGTAGCTGATACTCTTGAACACATCGTTATTTCTTAGGATCACCTTGTGGAAGCATATTTTCCTGGCTGGATGAACAGCAGGGGGTCTGTGTGCTGTGTTTCTTTGGGGGGTTCTCTAACCTCCTTTTCCACACATATTCGGGGACGCGCATCCTCACACACACACACACACACACACACACACACACGCCCGCGCGCGACTGCGCCTGCTCACGCCCCCTCCCATCCTGAGCTCTGTGCTGTGCGGCGCCGCTGCAGATAACATGCCCCTCTGTGACCACCGGCAGCAATGAACGACTCGGTTTGAAGGTAGCGGCTCTGCGGCATGGATGTCCGCTGACTGAAGGAGCAGCCTTTATGGATTGGAGCTCAACGTCGCCGGAGCAAATCTGGAGAAATTCGGAGAGGTGAGATGGGAGAGAGAGAGAGAAAGAGAGAGAGGAGGGGAGACATATAGGAGGCGCTCTCATTGGGCAATTTATTTTATATCACCTTTTATACAAAACACGACTGACAAGCTGCGGATTAGGCTAATATGAGCGCCTCTTTGTAACAGAATAGAGCTGATTTATTCATTATCAGCCATGTTTGGCTCAGCCCATCACACAGCAGGCCATTTTCTGCTGACAGTGTGTGGCTGTCCCTATCACTGCATGCTCTATAAATCAGATGCAGTTGATGATGCCGCTTTTTACATTCACAGCGGAATTGTCTTTAGTGTTTCTCAATTAGTCGATGTAATAAAACCAATACGTTAACAGGGACTACATTTGAATGTTATGTAGCAGAATTTGACCTAGTTTTGCAATACTGGGCATAAACTGGGATGTAAAAGGGAAAGTAGACCAATTCTCCTTTTGGCCTGGGAACCACTCAACACAGCTGATTGGATCACGTTTCTTCAGGTAATGATAAAGCAGAACAAATTGTAGGGATCAAATGAGCATGCTGAAATAAGGAGCTGGCTCATATTATATTTGTGCTGCATTATAGAGTCCTCCCACTTGAAACACTAACTACTGGGCTTTCCCGCAGATATTTTCATTTAGAAAACAGTTGTGCAGTGGCCAGCCCACAGCACTTATGCTACATTTAGACCCCTTCTATTCCTTCTTGGTGAAGTTTTAAATCTTTGGCACGCAGCAGCTGTCTTTACGTTTTATGGCCCAGCAGCTGCCAGGAGAATTGACCATGCATTGACTTAGTGTGGAGCACTGTCCTTAGCAAAGTCTTCGCAAATTAGTGTGCACAAGTGCCTCTGCTGCTGCATGTTGGGGTGTGTCTGTCTGGTTAGTAGTTCTGACTGTACATCAACTGCCTTGCGAAAGTTTTAATAGCCATGGAGCTTTTACCACATCATAGTGAAAAACACAAATGTGTTTTATTGGGATTTTAAAAGTAGACCAACACAAAGGATGCACATTTTTGTAAAAGAAGGAAAAACTAAGCAAAAACTTGGATGGATGCAGGCAATTACAGAGCCATCTTGTAAGAAACAATTGTAAAAAAAAAAAAAAGCTTCAAAACATTTGAGGCGGGGGGGGGTGGGGATCACCAGGTCAAAGTTCAGACTTAAATCCATCCATAGGAGAATCTGTGGGAAGGATTGAAAATCAATATTTACAGGCATCCTCCATCTGATCTAGCTAAAGAAATGTAAATCTCTAGACATGTAAAGATTTTTAGAAAAACCTACATCAAAAGACTGCCGGGGGGGTAACTGCATCAAAATATGTTTCTAAAAGGTTAATATTAATATTAATATTAATTAATATTACTCAGGTTAATATTTTTATGCAAATATGCAAATATTTACCACACTTCTCAGATTTCTTTGCTTTAAGGTATTTTAAACACCATGCATCTGCTTTCTCTGCTTCACAGAATTTATAATATTATATCATATCATATAATACATTGGAAAGACTTTTGCAAGGCACTATGTGCTTATCTCTGAGTGTCTGTCACTCACTGCTTCTCCTATTAACTGTGGTTATGATCAGAACGTAGCCTTCTGGTTGCTTAGCAGTTGGTATTTAGGATTATTTGAACTCTGACCCCCAAGAGTAACCTCCCCAAACACCACATATCTCCCCTGCTGAGACTCCCCAATGAGCTTTACAACCCTGGGTTTATAAATGACATCCTGCTGTTTTAGTGAAACGTGATTGTTTGCATTTTAATTCAAAATTCATTCGTCCTGGATACGGAATGGTCAGCTGTTAATTATTCTGTGTCATTTGCTTAATTTCGAAAATAGTGCGGATTAATAGATGCTTTTTAGGTGTGACTTTTCAGTGCGTCCCCTACTTATGTATTTATTCTTCCTCTAACAGCACTGTGGGGGGGAATTCATCATCTAAGAGCACAGGTCACATGACAGGTAAGCTTTAATTTAATAAGCCGTATGTAAAAAAAAGGAAAAAAAAGATCAACTTTCTAAATATAACTTTATTTCTGTGATTTCTCTAACTTGACTGCTTTCTCTTGTTTAGATTTGTGTAGTGATGAAGCAGACAACTCTCCTCCTCTTCAGCCTCACACACTCAAGCAGTTTGAGCAGGTGAGACTCTGCCTTCCCTCTGATACTTGTCACTGTGCTTAAGTGCTCTGCAAACCGTAAGTGTGCTCTGCTGCACCGGCATGATGAATGGCATCTTTGCTACTAAAAGGAGGCAATGTGTAGTTAGGCCTAATTTAGTCAGAAATTATTACAAAAAAAAAGAAAAAATTCAAGTGGAGAACAGATGAAAAGACAAAGAAAGCACCTGAAGTTCTAAGTGTTGAATGGAAAACACCCAGAGCTCTATTTTAATCTACCTTTGGGGACTCAATTAAGAATCTGGTGTCGTCTGTAACACGCCTGAGTGATGCCCAACTACATTTTAATATATTTTCAGAAGGACATCATTTTTAGTAATTGTAACTATCATGTTATTATGAGTAAGAAGCGAGCTGCCACATTTAATTCATAAATACTCACACACTTACCAACTGTATTAAGTTTGTGATCTTATTCAGTCGTTTTCTGGAGTTGAACGTTACAGTAAGTCCTTGTAAAATAATTAAAAAGTCCCTTTGCAAACATGTGGGGTCAATTAAATACACTTAAGCTGATCATCAGGAAGTGTGAACTCTTACAAAAAAGCAAAGTTTGAGGACTTTCCATAATGCACATTCAAAAACAGAGAAAGAACATGTTTTATTTTACTGATGCAGGCTAATTGTTGCTCTGCATTCATACTATTTCTTCATTACAATGACAAAGCATTTCCATAAGCTGAACGTATTATAGACGTTTTTCAGTCTTCCACATGCCCAGAAGTTCTTGGTGTCAAAAGTGGATAAAAACATACAAATAGGACTATAAAAGGCCTTGGTTAGCACACTAGCCTGGCTAGCGTATTACATTTTAAACACTAGAAAATATGTGGCTTTTGAAAAGTTTGCTAAATGTTTGTCACAAAGGCTCTTCTTTAAACAGTTTATTGCTTAAAGGATACAGTTTTACAACACACAACAATTTTTGCTAACACAAATGTCACATCACAGAAAGGAGGTTTCTAAATGACAATTTTACTTGATGAAAATAAACGCTTTCCGAACTACCCCTGCTCTGTGTGAAAAGCTAACAACTGCTTGTTCTACCCTGGAGAGCCACAACTGACCCCAAGGATTTGCAGCGACTGCCAGCGAGTGTTAAGGTATTTTGGCCCACTCTTCTTTGCTGGAGAGGTTCCAAGCATTTATGGTATGTTTAAAGCATTGCAATCAGATTTAGGTCCAAACTTTGATTAGGCCACTCCCAAAAGTTCATTTTATGCTCTTCGATTACGCCCCAGACTGTCACAGGCGTGTTTGATTACTGACGTGTTGTTATCTCTCTGAGCTCTGTAATTCGCAAAGCTCAGAAAGGTTTTGATTTCATTCTCACACCTTTCCTTAAAACACGCGCTTTAGTGTTCATTTCAAAAAGGTTTATTTTAATCCAGACACATTGAACGTCAAAAAAAATAAACTAAACTGCAGGAGGAGCTGCTGAGCCGTGGTAGAAACGGAGAGTCTCTGCATGGCTGAGGTCCACGGATGTGTCGCTCTTCCTCCTGACACACACACACACACACACTTTAAAGTTTCTGAGCACACACACTCAAACTTGGGCTGTCCACTACTGATCCAGAGCTGAAGCATGTGTGTGTGTGTGTGTGTTGTTGTTGAAGATAAGATGATGTCATCATGTGTGAATAGTTAAACCGACATACATGATGTCATCACTAAGGTCATGTGGGGGCCTTATCTTGGCGCCTTGCCTGTGCCTGTTCTGAATTATTTAGCAAAAGGATGAAATGTGACTCTTTAATGGCCAGAACTAGAAATGAGGTAATTAATCTGTTTTCATCACATCCTCATCAGACCCTTTTATTTGGTTGTAGAGAGCTGCCGCTTGGTAAAAGACAAAAAAAGAGACACATTTCATGAAGATCCATGCTCTGTTTTTGCTCTTTACTCTCTTCTGGTTACTGATCTCTCTGCAGGACGGTTCGGGATTCTCTGCTCTGTGAGATTCAGGACACCTCCCTATTTATAGCCTCCTGGCTCAGAGGTCCCAGTTCTCCTGTTTCTTCTCCAGCTTCTTTATACTCACCTGTTTATCTCTGTCCCAGCAGCTTCTCCAACTTTAACTCTTAGCTGATCCGTCTTTGTCGGAGCTGGGGAGGGGGGCGTTGTTGTTGTTGTTGTTTTAGATCAGCCGGAGAGGAAATGGTGGGGAAATGATTTAATGGCAGTTTCTCGCTGCAAGAACATCCTTGATTCCTGACTAGGATGGCACCTTTCTATGTTGTTTCCCTTTTTTATTCTTAGCATTAATGTGGGCTCATGCAGAGAGGCAGAACATCTGGGGTGGGTAAGATGTTAGCCAAGCTGCTAGCATACTAACTTTCCGCAGGATCATCTGGATTTTGGAGATATTAAATGTCCCCTTATTGGCCGGGAAAGAAACCGAAGTTAGTGAGTGAGGTTGAGTGATATCAACTACATATAGTCAGACTGAAATCTGCTTTTGGAGCATCTCCCACTGGAAGGGGATCCTGGGACAGACCCAGAACCCACTGGAGGGATTTTATTTTCCTGCTGGTCTGGAAACGACCCACAGTCCCCCAGAATGAGCTGAGGAGAGGGATATCAGCCTTTTCTAGCTGCGTTTACGTGTGTTTCTGAATGGAGGAATTAAAAAATAGAGCTGTTGATGAGATCCTCTCTTTTAAGATCTTTTTTACAGCAGCAAGATAAGTTATGTCATTTGGCCCTAAAGCTACCATGTGACACGAAAGGCATTGAGCATTATTATTATTCTCTGTAAAGCAGACCTGAAACCTAAAACCAATCACCCAGGTCGATATTACATTTACATT